ACGCTGTCGCATGTGCCTGGGAACAGCCTCAAAATGCCCACACAGAAATACTCTAAGGTTCACGTTGTGCCGTTTAAGCCATCGGACACAAGTGTTTGTGGGAAGTCAGTGAGGTGACAGCGAGGGCAGGATGTCAGAAGAAGAGGCATCACTCCTACCCTTCTCGCCGGCTCGGTCTTCCAGCCCCTGCCAATTTATCAGCTCTGTGTGAATGTTCCAGAAACAATGCATGGCTGTCTGTAGATTGTGTTGAGATTCTGTTTGTATGGCTCCCCTCTGAGGGACAGCTTTCGTATGTCAGCATAGCCTGTGACTCTGCAGGTGCAGTGCTGTGTGTTGCTCTGTGGGAACAGTATTGCGCATGAATCTGGAGATGCAGCATAGCATGTGACTCTGGGGTGCAGTGTTGTGTTTTATTCTGGAGATGCAGCATTACTACATGTTACTGTACAGGTGCACAGCTGCATGTGACTCTGCAGGCGCAGCATCCTGTGTGATTCTATAGGTGCAGTGAAGTGTGTGACTCTGCGGGTGCAGCTTTGTGTGTGACTCCAAGTGCAGTGTTGCATGCGAGTCTGGAGGTGCAACGTAGTATGTGACTGTGGGTGCAGAGCAGCGTGTAACTCTTGAGGAGCTGCCGTTTCTGTGACTCTGGAGGTGCAGTGTCGTGAGTGACTCTGTGGGAGTAGTATTGCATGTGACTGCAGGTGCAACATTGCGTGTCACTCTGTAGATGCAGTGTAGCATGTGACCCTGGAGGTGCAGCATCCCATGTGTGTTTGCAGGTGCAGCCTTGTCTGTAGCTCTAGAGGTGCAACGTAGCGCGTGACTCTGCCGGTGCAGCTTTATGTGTGACCCTGCAGGTGCAGTGTAGTGTGTGACTCTGCAGGTGCAGCTTTAGGTGTGACTCTGCGGGTGCAGTGTAGTGTGTGACTCTGCAGGTGCAGCTTTATGTGTGACTCTGCGGGTGCAGTGTAGTGTGTGACTCTGCAGGTGCAGCTTTATGTGTGACTGCGGGTGCAGTGCAGTGTGTGACTCTGCAGGTGCAGCTTTACATGTGACTCTGTGGGTGCAGTGCAGTGTGTGACTCTGCAGGTGCAGCTTTAGGTGTGACTCTGCGGGTGCAGTGTAGTGTGTGACTCTGCGGGTGCAGTGTAGTGTGTGACTCTGCAGGTGCTGCCTTGCATGTTACTCTGAAATCTAAAAATCACACAGGAAACACATGTCATGTGAGGGGTGAGAGGCTTCAGGACGTACATGTTTTTCCATGACATCCAGCATGAAGGGGAGTCACATCGTGGCAGATCAGCAGGCCACAACTGAGGCTTACAGGAGCCAATCGAGACGCGGCTCTCTTGAGCTGCTAACATGACATCACCCACATCACTGTCTTACAGGAGAATTGGGTCTCAGCTGACATGATTCAGAGCATTTGAATAACAAAAAACAACAGCGCCTCATCCTGCGACCCTGACCAAGACTGATGGATGGATGGATGGATGGATGGAATACTGGCTCATGTTGTGATCCACATCAATTTAAGCATGCAGAAATTGGATCCTTGTAAAAGTAGACTTCTAAGTAGATTCTGTGTGAACAGTGTTGGATAAAATCCTAAGCTCAGCAACTGAAATAATAATGAAGAATGATTCTCACACAGGGGAGGGTACAGAGAGCGCTGACTGACAGCCGGGGAGTGACTCTGACTCTGTGGAGTGTAGATCCCACTGCAATTCGGTCCCGTTTATATGATTCTAGTTGACAGGTTTCTTCAGGTCATACTGGAGCAGGGATCTTAACCAGCAGGGCAGCGTCCTTTAACCACTCTGCCACCTGCTGCCTTTTTGAGGGACTTCCACAGCATTGTAATATACTGAGGACCCGTTTAAGAGGACGCTTGCTGTGTTTTCCCATCCTTTTTCACGACTGCTGAAGGTTTTTTTTTTTATTTTTTATGAACCTTCCTATCGGGACACTAATGAATGTCTGTAGGTCCAGATCTCTGCTGGGTTTCCGGGGCACTGAAACTCAAAGGACACAGACGCAATCCTCCGCTTCATGCATCTGAAAGAAAATGACATCCCTTCGGTGTTTCAAAGAGAATGATTTGGACCAGGAGGGAAAAAAAGAGCCGTTTAGCGAGCTCTGTCACAGAACGCCTTCCCTCCAAATTATCTCGCACCTCACATTTGCTCTCAGGAAGGCGGTTTAAACAGGCCATGATTGAGCCAGTGATCCAATTTGAAATGCAGGAATGATTAGAGCCGCGTGGCCCGTTTGGTACGGGAGCGTTCGGATTTGTGACGGGGCGGCCGCCAGGATGCGTCTCTAAAGGGAATTAGGGTGCTGTCTCCCCGCCCCCCCCTCCCCCCACAGCAGATGCGGGCTTCATGGAGAAGCGACTCCCGGCTCTGACAGATGAGTCCGGTTCCGTTCCAAAAAGCCCAGAATCCTGCTCGGAAATAAAATTTAACGGAGCGGAGTGCAAATGCTTCTCTGTCTCCGACTCGCCACCCGGCACGTCGCTTAATAAAACGGCACCTCTGTGTCATGCAGACGCGACATTCCGCGGAGCACGGAACTCAATCCGTGTAAATAAAATAGTTAAAAAGAAACCAGCGTCTCTGGCCCCTAACACCGCCGCTCGCTTAGCTGAATTATGACGTTCATCGTTTCATCGTAGAGTATGGAATAGTCTTCCTGCTAGTGTAGCGGAAGCTAAAACCCTGGGGTCCTTTAAATCAGAGCTAGATAAGATTTTAACGACTCTGAGCTATTAGTTAGGTTCTCCCCAAACGAGCTTGATGGGCCGAATGGCCTCCTCTCCTTTGTAAATTTCTTATGTTCTTTTGACAGCCTTTTCAGAAATTATTTGCATGCATCACTGCTATTGTTTTCTCTTCTCTGCAAGCAGCTTATTTTGTAACAAGATCTAATTGCTCATACTAGTAGTTTATTCCGTTATGGATTAAAGGGTAGGAACAGGAAGGTGTGTGAAAGAGAAGATGGAAAAATCAGAAGAGAGCGGAGCTTCTCAAGGGGCCAGTGCCCCGCCTAACCCTCAACCCCCCCCCCCCGCAAGGGGTTACGGACGGCCGGGATATCTGACTAGTGCGCTATCATTAGCACATTAGCACATTGTTTAAGTGGCACCCAGAGGCCTGGGGGCCGCCTGACACCTCCTGCCCGTCAGAGGATCGGCGTATCAGGGAGGGATTAGCGCCGAGTTGGGATTTGTGTGATTGGTTAATTTATTGTGATGACGGCGGCTCTTTCATCTGTGGCGGCATTTAATCACCGCAGTCACACGGGCGATTACAGGTAGGCGCCCCCGTCATGCGGAGCTGCGGCTCTGTCACACGCCGCTCGCGAAATTCCCAAATCAGCCGGAACAGACCTGAAGTCCTCTGTCATAAAAATGAGAGCAGATTCCTCATGGACACCTCGGGTGGCTCCGGTCTTGTTATTAATATTACCGCCTCTCTCAGGGGACACTGGGGGGACAGTGAGAGGCCTTATCAGCTGACCCTGTAGGGGCCGTGATCCAAATCACCTGCTCTGTAATGAATATCATTTTTATTTCCCTGAGCTTCACAGCTGCAGAAATCAATGCAGGTTATCTTTTGTCGCCGGAATTTGTAGACCCATAGATTTTAATTTTTATGCCGAATATGGGGCAGATTTAGTAGTTTGTGACCCTGTTCCTGACGCTTAACAGGGACGGAGAGCTCAGGAGTTTATCAAGCGATGAAAACGTAACCAAAATCGGGCAATGGTACCTTCCGAGCTCACGTAACCCCTCAGATCTTTCAACTCTGTTCTTCAGTTTTTTCATTTCATTGGTTGCTGTGAAATCACATGATTCCACATACTTCCACATCAGCTACACGGGACAAGCATGTAGCTTTTATTATCACACCACATTGTTGTAGCGAATGAACGGTTCTGTTGGGGCATTTGTTATGCCTGGTGGTATACATTTTATTCATTATTGTCATGTTATATATTTCGCATTCCAAATGATTTGCAACTGATGAGCGATTTACGTTATGTAAAAACAAAGGAAAAGAGCCTCTTGTTTTATGTAGTAATTACTCAGCTCAGATTAACCGAGCCCACAAACGACTGTTTTATTTGTACAGACTGGAGATAAACACAGTGATGTGATGTAATCGACAAAGGAGCATCTTTGAGACACTCTGCTGGGGCGGCACTGATATGACTTTTAATTATACAATATATGAATTGAGAGTAAATTGTTACAGACTGTCGCTCTTATCTCACAGACTCTAAACACAGAATCAGCGGCAAACATGAGAGAGAGGACTTCCCGCTGTCACTGCTGTTTTTGTGGTCTTCACCGCAATATGCAGACTGTAACCTTCCGCGTCAGCGTTTCCTCCACGTTTCATTACGAGAGGAGACCCTCACTCTGTCGCTCTGTCCCAAATGGGGGATCAGTGAGTCTGTGCCCAGAGCTCGTCCAAACGCTCAGCATTGCAGCCAATCTCCGCGGCCCCCTAATGACGAGGGGGCCTGGGGTTAAATTACCATGGGTTAGAAACACCCACTTTGGGCCCAGAAGCCATGGAGGTCCTGCAGATGTTTCCCTGAATTTCCCAAACTGGGTCAATAAAAGCGCAATTAAACTCACCATTAAGCTTCTATAAAAAGGTCATTTAAATACAAAATGAAAAGTAAGGGAAGAGCCAGATTTCTTGTGGCTGTTTGGCACATGGCGCCGAACCTCGTCCACCTGTTTCGGGATTTATAGGGGAGGACTGGTGGCTTTACATATTCTGGATTATTTGCTGCTGAACCGTCAAACTCATACCGGTCGTCCAATGGAACAGATGTTGATTGGTTAAATTCCATGCAGTTTGTTCCGGGAAGCAATTTTAAGTAGCCATTTTTTTTTTTTTTTCCAGAAACGTTTAAAAAAATGCCTTTTAGCACCTCCTGACCTCATCAGCTAAGTCGTGTCTCTCTGACTCCCGCAGAAGACGAAGTGTCCCACCCACATGTGGCTTCTGGACATCACCTGGCCAGGTCTGGACGACAGCAAGACCAACTGCATCATCTACAGCAAGAGTAAGTACCTGAAAGGCAGCAGTAACCGCAGATTCATACGTTTTCTTTTTACTTGGGGGTTAATTAAATGTATGGAGGTGATTGTTTAACCGTCTCATTTCATCTGAAACGTTCACGCTTCTTAATTCAGACCGATTCTGCGTACGTCGTATTCGCCGAAATTTGCACACAACAACAAAACTGCAATTTAATTTCGTTAAAAGCGTTTTTCTTTTGCCGGAATGATTTGTCATTTGAAGCCAATTCCCTCATCTCCAGGCTAAATTAGGCTTGTTCTCTTCATACCGTTTGAAGACCAAGTCTTAAATCTCAAATTGGTTTTCCCTTAAATGAAGTCAACAAACAGCTTTTTTAAGAAGCAAGTTTTCAGTTAACGTTTAACTAGATTTACTCTTGAGTGAGAACTTAGACAGAACTAAAACAGATACTGGAATATGGCATCCAAAACGACTGGGCAATGGGTAAATCTCTTGGACACTGGGCAGTGCCGTGCTCCTTGTCCTCTGTAGGGAGTGCAGTCAAAACCATAGCGCACTGGAATGTCACGGGTAACCTAAATATTCACAGTCAATTATAGAGACTTACTGTAGGCATCAGCTGACCACAGGGGGCACTGACGGCAGACTCCGGTCCAGCTCGTGCAGAGCACACGGTCGGCGGTAGATTCTGCACCAATGCAAACAGAAGCCCGACTTGTCAGCCCCCGGTATTGTTCGAGCCCTCGCACGGGGTGGCAGATGGGACGGACAGATGATCGGCCACGCAGGAGTGCGGGGACGGGCCAGAGGGTGCGGAGAGGCAGGGATTCTCAGGCACATAAAAGCAGCATGAAGGATGGAGGGCTCTGACATCACGGCCGCCCGGTCAGGAACGCCGGGCCGCACCCAATCCGGACGCCGCATCTGGTACATCCAGTCCGAGTCTGGCCTTTCCGACCCCCGGTCTGGGCCAGTTTTCCATTGGCCGGCAGAACTCTGGGGGAGGGGTTGGTTAATTTCCTGTCATTTCCAAGCCATGTCGTTCTTTTATAACCCCTGATGTTCCATCGATTCACCACCAGCAGATACTCCCAAGACTTACTGCTCCGCATCTTTTTGCACGGCATAAACCCGAAAGATTGGGAACCCCAGCTGTAATAGATTTCTCACCATGTGCGCGAATCTGTTGAATAACTGCATTTTAATTTCCCGCTATTCAGCATTAATCACTCGGCTGCACTAAGGAGAGATCCTCTTAACAGACTGCTTAACTTAGTGTTTTCTATCAGCAAATCATTAAAGTTTGGATAAGCTCTCAAAGAAGATTAGAGTGTCTTCAACAAAGTCTAATCTCTTAACTGGAGCAGATGATATAGTGCAATAAAAAGGGAGAATAGTGGGTTTTCACAGCGCTGTCATTTGAGCCTGTAATTTTCATCCTCTGGCAGTTTGATCTCAATGGCAGACGGCTGCATCTCCCCTCCAGCCGCATAGGGGGCGCTAGAAGCCAAGGCGTTTTTATCATCTTGTAACGTTTTACTCACACGTTTTTGTTTTTCACAAAACGTTGAAAAACCGCTGCCTCATATCACTGTTCGCTTCAATACACGTAGAGGTACGATGAGATTTGACATAGAGGATTTTGGAGACACTTTGCAAGTCTCATTCATACTGTATCAGTCTCTATGTAACGGTCGTCTCATTGACGAAGAGCTTCTCCCTTGCTGTATGGGTCTTCAGTCCTGCTTCTAGAGCTTGTTATGAAATGTCCTAGCAGTGCACTTCATACCACTTGATACCACTTGATGTTTCCTGTTCTTTTTGAAGTCGACTTGAGGTCATCCTCCGATTTATGAGGCACTACTGGATAAGTTGACCGTCATCTCCGGCATTGGACAGTTGCTTCTGCCCTCTACCCGGCTGGTTTTTTTAATCATTCCCAGTGTCTCCTGCTTCAGCTTGGTCTTGTATATTGCTGTCTCAGACAGTTTGAGCCTGGAAGCTGCCTGCTTCGCAGTGTAGCCTTCTAGTATAGTCAGCAGAATCAGGATTAAATCAGGAAAATGCAGATTTTTTTAAAAAATATAGAGCGGTCTCTTAATTTCTTCCGGAGCTGTACATCTTGGGAATGTGGTGGTGGGGGGGGAGTCAGGGATTGTCCACCTGTTCATGGACAAACTTGTCTGTGGTGAAATGTTTTGACAGAGAGGAAAAAAAAAACATGTAGTTACTCGTTTTCCAGTACCTGGTCTGTGGTAAAAATTGCTTTTTGATCAGAATGTCTGGCATGGTGTTGACCCCTGGGGGGGATGCAGATTGGTGAGTTTAGCAGAAATTCATTCCTTCGCTGTGCATGAGACACCTGCAGCAAGAGTTTTCGACGTCCTTCACTTCAGCCTCCACGCCGAATCACGGCAGCTTCGGGCGTTTCGAAAAACCTCTTCGCTACAGTTTGAAACCCTTTTCCTGGCCAGGTGACGGCCTTGACCCTTCCGTTGTGTTGGTCCCGGACCGGAGGCTAGTCTTTTCTTACTGCACTGTCGTCTGAAACACTCCCGCTGGCTCTGAGCTGCCAGAAACCTTGAAGGCCTTAATTGCTGCTTCTTTGGTCTCAAAGCCCAGAAAAGAGTTCTGTCAACCTGGCAGGTGCCCTGGTCAGCCACTCATAAGAGAGTGAACAATAATCCAGGAGAAGAGAACATCTGAAAAGGCAACAGGGGGAGTGTAAACTAACTTAAATGCAGAGTGTCACTTCTGCACTTTACATGGCTGGTGGCAAACGAGTTCATTACTCACATTACAGCCCCTCCTCAGCCTACAGTGGGGATACGTTCCGATGAACCCACCATAAATTGAAAATATCGTAAGTCGAATATGAACATGATATGAGAAATCGCACCGGAAAAACCCTCTACGGTACGTTATTAAACACTGCATGAGATGTTAACGCTCGCGATCACTACAGAGACTGGAGGCATAGCTGGGTGGACGCTGCCATCGCCCGGCATTAGTCGAAAGCCTCGTACGACATGCCGCTAACCCGACTTGATGACTACTAAATGCGCATCGCTATCGCACCATCGTAAAGTCGAAATATCGGAAGTCGAACCATCATACAGCAAGGAGCAGGGCTATCTCCGGGGTGGGGGTATGTTTTTTCCCTCTGTAGGGAGCCCAAAGTCTATACCAAGGGACACCCCCCCACACACACCCCCCAGTCGACAAAGTTTCAGGGTTCGCACAGCTTAAGACAGCCAAGAGAATCGAACTTGAGGTAAAGGCTGTGAAGAAAAGAGAATTAAAGTGAGGCCTCCTTTTGAAGGGACTGGAGGCTGTGTTATCAGCGATCTGGCACAGAAGAGGAGCGACCGTGTAATAACCAAACAAGTAGCACGATGCGTAATTAAATTATCAGTGTGTTCAAACTGAAGTGCACCCTAAAGGAGTCTGTCGTTAAGCAGTGGTGTAATTATGTTCAATTAAAATACAACACTGACGAACCGAATCATTTTCATTAGGAAATTAATGATTGCGCCATGGTAATAATTGACTGTGCAGAGTCGCATGATAACTCTTGGCGGAGTCAGGCTGGAGTGGGAGGATTCTCAGCTTGGGGGGGGTGCATCCCGTATGGGACCCACAGCTCAGGCCCCCATTCCGCAGGGCACACAGGCTCCTTTCTCTCTTTCTGTCCCCAGATTATTGTGGGACGTCGCTCTTCTTGGTCCAAGGAAATGCTTTTGTAAAATAGCTGATCCGGTCATACAATCAAGGAATATTTACGAGTGCCACAGACAGACTTGCAGTTGGCTAAGATTTAAAAGATTTAATTAATTAAAGCTTTTAATTCAGTACAGGGCACCTTTGTACCCGACAGTGAAGGAACCAAACATAGGTCACGCCGTCACTAACAATGCTAACGATGCGTCTGAGTGTGGCCAGTTAGGTATCCCTGTGGCAACAAGGTGATATGTGGTTTGGTCTGTGGGTATATTATACTGTGCTGTTTTCTTAAAGCACCAAATGAGAACCACTGTTAACTAACAAGACTGGTCAGCGTGTTGTTTATAACTAAAATCCACACCTAGCTCAGTGGAGCAAATTAGCTATGTTAGAAGAGTGTGAAAGGCTTTTGGAAGCACATGACCTTACAGTAAACGTGTAGAGATACATGGGCTGAGAAACATACACTGACCTCTCAAGGAAACACATCCACTAACTAATGAATAAACACCAAGTAATCTCTCTATCAACAACTTCCAGCACCACCCCCCTCCCAAAAAAAACAAAAAAACACCCAGTAACCTCTCTGTGAAGGGAAACCCTTTTCCGCAGTTTCCGACAGGCAGTTGGATAGACGACGCTCTGATTAGGGCCCGATGGTCTTTCACATCCCATGTCTTCCCGGGACGCTGCGTTGTCAGGTGTGCACACCTGCGGCTCCGGAGCTATCCCACAGCACCCAGCATCGTAGCCCTCCCCCCGGTGTTAATCCCTCTGACCCCCCGGCCCACCGCCTGTCTCTCAATCAGCCGCTCCCAGAGATTACATCCCTGTCCCCTGTAGGCTACCTGTGTGACGGACTCCACGGTACCAGATGGCGGGTGTAGTACCTGGGGTTTGCTCTTTGGAAACCACCGGCTCGGTGCCACGCTCCCGAGCACCGTTACATTTCACAGTGGTCCTCTGCTTTGTTTATTTCGTTTGGCAGGAGGACGGGGGGGTGTTATCGTAAAGAGATGTGCATTATTTATGGATCTCCCCCCCCCCCTCCCAAAGTGCTTGGCTCCTCGTCCTCGCCTGCACTTTACGGGAGGAGATTTAGACAAAACGAGAGCCGACTCATGAGGTTAGGACCGGCAGGCGCCCCAGCGCAGATGCACACGCCGCCGCGGCGATAACCGTGACCACGGCGGCGATAACCGTGACCACAGTGGCTTCCTTGGATATATTTGCCGCAGCTGTGGCCTCTTTATGCAAAGCGACGAACTTGGTTAATTTGTTGCTTGTTTGTCAGGGTGC